GGTTAGGGCAGAGCAAGGACTAGAGACCCTGGTTTCCACAAGAGGCCATGATTCTCCTTTTCCCTGGGAGACCACACCCTAGCTTCTGGGGGCCAGGGTGGGAAGAGGAAACCAGCATCAGCAAGGTGGGTCTAGGCTATGGGGAGGCTTGGGCATTACAGCCCTAGCCTTTGGATGGTCAAGGAGGGCCTCTGCCCCCTGTTCTGGACAGCTATAGTCAGGGAAGAAGGGCATGTGTAATGGGGGTGGCTAGGACATAATGGACAAAGTAGAATTTTCTTGGGCCATACATTAAATTTCAGGGATGTCTAACCTAAAGCCCATGGGTTATTACAACTCTCTCTCTCTCTCTCTCTCTCTCTCTCTGTCTCTCTCTCTCTCTCTCTCTCTGTCTGTCTCTCTCTCTCTCTGTCTCTGTCTCTGTCTCTCTCTCTCTCTCTCTCTCTCTCTCTCTCTCGCGCGCGCGCGCGCGCGTACACACACACACACATTCACGCACACACGCAAGTATGCGCACACACACATGCACACACAGTTTCTTTTTTGTGTGACACTGTGACACAATGCTGTCATCCATAAAGTTCATGACTGAGAACTGCCCAGTTTTTTTTAAAAAAAGTCTTGATATTTTAGTAGGTAGATTTTATGATGGCTGCATTCACAGCTAGCCTGGGCTACATTCAGGTTGAATGCACATGATAGAAAATACATCACATGGTCATCTACTCAGACTTGCCTGGCAAGCCTGGAAGCTCCTAGGGAACAGTGATCATGGCCTGCCCTGTCCGAACTGCAGTCCTAAGGGCAGAACAGAGCCTAGTGCCCAGATGTTGACTGACCAGGAGAATAACGGCAAACTGCCTGTAGCCCAGTGCCCAGCATGTAACAGGCACTCAGCAGAGGCCATTTCCTTCCTTTGACCTTCAAAATGGAGGCAGGCCCAGGCCCACAGGGGCTCCTGAGCCTGTGACTTTTCTAGGACACCTCCTGTGGTTGAATCAGAGTAGATGGAAGTTGGGTATAGCACACACTATGTGGATGAAGCATGTTGCAGTCCACATGAATTCTTCAGATTGCCTAGTGCATTGGAGAGTATAAGGCCTGATGATATTATCATATGAACTGTTGAGGATACAAGTGCCAGCAACCTGCTGTGTGGATGAGGAGTAGAGGGTCAGGGAAGTGAGCAGCTGGCCCAGGGTCACAGCGCTGGGGAGAGGCAGGGTTGAAATTCAAATCTAGCACCCTGGACTCCAGAGTTTGCCCCCAGCCTGCCTGAAACAACACAAAAGCACCAGCATGGGTATGGCTGACACTAGTCTCTTGAGCCCTTGATATAGCTACATGGCATCCAAGCTGGCCCCAGGGACAGCATCCTCCCTTTCCAAAGATCCTAGTCCCTGGTATTCCTAGAGGGCCGTGGTGGGGAGAGCAGCAACCTCATGGACCCCTAAGGGGCACCTCAGAGCTACCAGAGGCCTGAGGCCTGTAAAATCAGCAGAGCTGAACTGAAAGGAGGCCAAGCAGGCCCAGAACTGAGGTCATAAGTGTGGTATTCACTGGCCTCCTCCAACTTGCTGTGAACCTCGACCTCTACCTCCCTTGGCCCAGGTTACTGTCCACACCTAGAGGGACAGCTACCACCCTGTACTGTTTCCATGACTACTCTGCTCCCAGGGAGGAAGAAGAAGAACTCCAGTTTGCATGGGCAACCCTGTAAACAGCTCTGCTACACAAAGGGAGATTTCCCTGGATATGGGAAGCAGGCTGGATCCTGAGCATGGAGCCAGCACAGAGGGGAAGCAGAGGAAGCTGCTGTTCTTGGCTAGGCCAAGACCACACCTAAGGACAACCTGGAACCAAGAAAGAAGGTGGCCAACTACGGTCCTCCCCAAAGGGCTCAGGGAGGATTCACAAGGCAGTCACCTAGTAGGCAGCTAGGGCACACGCGGGGGTGGGGGTGGGGTCCCTTGCATCAGCACCATCCTATGTAGTGACCCATCCAGAGACCCCCACAGCTATATCCCTAAGGTGCTCCAGATCTGGATGCAGGGGAGACGGACAGGTCCTAGGGGCTGCTCCACTTACTCCTGCCACATTTGAGGCTGGGAGGAAACAGGAATGAGTCATCCTTCTAAGGAGCTGCCTTACTTTACAGAGCAAGAGCTGACCCTCACATGTTTCTCCTAACAGAAACCTCAGGATGGGAACTTTGGGTCTGGAGAAGACCACTCCTTTTGGCTTTCAGGGTCCCAGATAACTCAGAGACAGCTCCTAACCAAATTCACCCTGGTCAGCCAAATGGGCTGAGCATACCCAGCGTGTGGTCCCACAGGACACAGAGATGCATCTCTGGTGATCCAGATACCAGTTCCTTTGGGCCATCTGGATGGCAGAGGGGGCCTAGAAAGGCTGAATCCCAGGACTAATCTCCCCGGAGACCCCAGTAAAGGGTCAGATTTCATTTTTTGGGGTCTATCTTTGGTATAGAACAAAAAGGTGTTTGATCAGGTCTAGCGGTTTCTGGAATCCAGCCAAATCCCTGACCTACTCCAGAGAAGCTTGGAGCTAGGCCCTGAGTTTGAGGAAGAGCCCTGGTGCTGTGGAATATTTGTTTACACTGTAAAGATTTGTCCTTGCCAAGGCGCCTTCTCATTGGTTTAATAAAGAGCTGAATGGCCAATAGCCAGGGGGCATAGGTGGGACTTCTGGGCAGATAGAGAACTATGGGAAGAAGAAGGTAGAGTTGCCAGCCAGATGTGGAGGAAGCAGCATGGGCAATATGGAGAGATGAGGTAATGAGCCACTTGACAGAATGTAGATTAAAATAAATGGGTTAATTTAAATTATAAGAGCTGGTGGGACATGCCTAAGCTAAGGTCAAGCTTTCATAATTAATAATAAGTGTCCGTGTCATTATTTGTGAGCTGGCAGCCCAAAGAAAAATCCGACTATATCCTGGAGTGGAAGTAAGGCACATACCATGGAGGCTTTCTAATCCAGAAACTCCAGGGAAGTCTATGGTTCTAGGAGAGCCTGTATCTCCAGATACAGCTGCCCAGGGTCCCAGACTGGCAGGCCCAGGCCAGCTACACAGATGTGGCCAAAGCAGAGCAGGTGCTTAGTGAATTAGGTGTTAATCACAGAATTTTTATTAGAACAGTATGAAGCTTTGGATTGGAAAGTTCCAGAATTCTGCTGCCTCTTAGGATGGTGGACAGCAGGACAGAATACCCAGGACTGGATCCCAGTGCTTAGGACTCCGGGCCCCACCTAGGACAGCAGAGAGCTCATGGAAGGCTGAGTCCAGTGAACAACACAGGGTGGGTTCTGGATCCTCTCACAGGCAAACTCTTGAGTTTACTCACTCAACAGGTTTCCAAGGGTGCAGACATGGTGCTGGGCTTCAGAAGTCAAATAGACAAAGAACTGATAGTTTGGTGGAGGGAGACACTTAAGATACAAAATTATAGAAAGCACTTATAATAAGGTGACCTAGGGAGATGGCTCAGTGGTTAAAAGCACTGGCTGTTCTTCCAGAGGACCCAGGTTCAATTCCCAGCACCCACATGGCAGCTCACAACTGTCTGTAACTCCAGTTCCAGGGGATCCGACACCCTTACACAGATGCACATGCAGACGAGACACCAATGCTCATAAAATAAAAATAATAAATCTTAAACAAAAAAAATCAGGTGACCTGGGAAGACCATCCTGATATGGTGACACTGGAGCAGGAGTGAGGGAGCAAGTCCTGTGGAAAACTGAGGCAAGTGCATTCCAGCAAAGGGCAGTGTGAAGGCATCAAGGTAGGCGCATGTGCACTGTGTTTGAGGGACAGCAGTGAGGAGGCCAGTGTGGCTGCAGCCGAGGGTATGGGAGAGAAAAGAGCAGGTAAATTCAGCAAGGACCCAGCAGTTAGGTGACCCTAGGCCTGTAGGGCAGACTCCAAGAGAGACAGAAGGATGCTCGAGGACCTGAGGCAGCTTGTAGTCTGACCTAGCTTACTTACAGAAGTACATCCAGATACGTCCGGTGAAACTGAGTAAGGAGAAGTTTTACCTTAGACTAGCCCATCTAGAAGTGAGGTCATATGTGGACAAAAGTGTCCTGCTCCTGAAAGTGAAGGGCAAGAGTGTAAGGATGTCCATAGAGAGCACAGAGATGGCCCAGTGGGTAAACGTGCTTGCTATGCAAGCAGGAAGACCTAAGTTCGAATCCCAGCACCTATATAAAAAGCTAGGTGCAGCTGTATGAGCTTGTAACCCCAGTGCTGTGGGAGGCAGAGACAGGAAGATCAGCGGGGCTTGCTGGCCACCAGCCTAGCTCCAGATTCAGTGATAGACCCTGTCTCAAAAAAATAAGATGGAGAGTGACAGAGCAGGGCACCCAGTGCCACCTTCTTTTTCTTTTCTTTTCTTTTTTTGTTTTGTTTTGTTTTTTTGAGACAGGGTTTCTCTGTGTAGCTTTGCACCTTTCCTGGATCTCGCTCTGTAGACCAGGCTGGCCTCGAACTCACATAGATCCGCCTGCCTCTGCCTCCCGAGTGCTAGGATTAAAGGCGTGCGCCACCACCGCCTGGCTCAGTGCCACCTTCTATTGACCTCTGCATCAATGCCTGGGTTCATGTAACACCCCCCTGCTCACCAGGGTCCATAGAAACAGTATTACTGGTTGCTGCCTTTTTATTGTAAGACAGATCAGCTGCCCATAGCATTCAAGTGTGGCCACTAGGAGTTACTGGTGCTTCCTGAGGGCCAGATTGCCTCTCTCCAGCCCTCAGGCTCCAACCATATTCAGCGGTGTCTGCATCTACCCAATTCTTACCTGTAATACTGACAGTATGCCTATCCAGTGCCTTAGGGTACCCTGGTGACCTAATGTCAGCCCTCTGTACCAATCTACCACTCCAGAGTCAGGGCCTCCATACTGAAGACCTAGGCATGGTCCCAATGGCACCCACAGAAGCGTGGCTAGAGGGCCAGCACCCCCAGACTCACCAGGCATTGAGAATGGGGACAGGAAGACTGTCTCTACTGTCTCTGGTTCTGGAGGTGGCGGCTGTGGTGGCGGCTGCTGCTCCTGGCCCTGCTGTGGGTCTTCAGGGTTCTCCACAGGAACATTCCCATTCTCCATGTTCTCCTGTCTCCCATTCTGCAGTGGCTTGCTATTAACACCATTGGCCGAGTTGATCAACCTCTGTCGCTGTGGGGATAGGAGGCAACACAGATACCAAGCTGAGTGACATAGAACCATGCAATGCCCTCTTTCTTACAATCTCCCAACTCTTAACAACAGCCATCAGTTGCCTCCCATCCTCGACAACACTTGCTATAGTCGGTCCTTTCCACATGAACCACTCTGGATGTGTGCTAGTATGAAATCTAGCTTCAGTCAGCCGTTCTCCAACAACCATCTTACTACGATGTTGGTCAATGGATCGTCCCGCTGAGTTTCATTCCATGTCTGATGAGGGTGCTCCCCAAAGCCAGCAGTTAGCACCAAACCCATCCCCTTCTCTCCCACCCCCTTTGCCATGGCTAATGACAAAAGCAGCTTTGGTGCCACCCTAGCCTGGCTGGTCTTGCTTGATCTGTGGGCTTCTTTGAACACAGGCATGGACTGAAGACATGTTATGTGAAACTAACAGGGCTGAGGACATAGCTCAGTTGGCAGAGTATCTGCTTAGCACGCATGAAGTTCTGGGTTTGAACCTCACGCTGAATGAGCCAGGCTTGATGGCAAATGATGGAGCCCCAGCACTTGGAGGCTGGAGGCAGTAGGGCAGTAGGATCCTAATCAAGGATTATGCTTGGCTACCTAGTAAGTTTGGGGTCAGTTTGAGCTATAAGGAACCCTATATCAAAAGAAAAAAAAGAAGGAAAGAACAAAAGAAAAGAAATGAAATAAACAGGCCTCATATTCTCTAGAACCTATCTCTCCATTCAGCTGTCTTCTCCTCGTTTCCAGTCATGGCTTATGGATCAGCCCCACAGATCATGGGCATTCCACAGTGACATTCAAATCCTTCCCTACCACTTCAACAAGAGACTTGGGGATGGAGCTGTGGCCCAAACTTCCATAATGGGGTACTCAGCACCCATCCTGGTGGTCTCATGGAGGGCATTACCACTCATAATAAAGGCTCACCCTTGCTCTGAAGACTTCTGAGCCATCCTCATGTAGGTTTGAGACAAAGACTCCTAAGCAAGGAAAAGCATGGTGTGTGTGTGTGTGTGTGTGTGTGTGTGTGTGTGTGTGTGTGTGTGTGCCCGTGCACACATGCATGTTAGGATGAGGGGTACTTCTCAACTTTTTCCCCACAAACAGTCCTTAACCCACCAAAAAGAGCAAAGGCGCCTTTATCTGATAGGCCTAGACACACAGTATTTGGTTAATTAACTGGGATTAAATGAAAAGCCATGCATGAAGTCCCAAACAAACATAAAAAGACCTATTTATGTAGAGATAGAATTTTAAAGGCAGGATCATTGCTCCACAGTAGGATGAAGGTGATAACTGTTATACTTGAGGGCTACAGTTCTGGCTTTACAGAATCAACAGAGAATTACACCCTATCCCACACACATGCACATAATTAAAAATAAAAATTAAAAAAAATCTTGAAAATGACTAAGGAAATGAGACCATAGTGTCACACATGTGCATGCATGCATTTGTGAATGAGTGTGCATGTGCGTGCGTGCATGAGTGTGTGTGTGTGTGTGTGTGTGTGTGTGTGTGTGTGTGTTTACATGTGCATGTTTACGTGCACATACAGATGCAGGTGTGTATATGCAAGTCCAAATATGTAGGTGTGCATGCAATGGTGACCACTCATGTGGAGGACAATGGGTCTCAAGAGCTGTCTGAAATGGAACATGAGTGTTGGGTTTGCAAGTACATGCCAACAGGCCTGGCTTTTTAAATGTGGGTTCTGAGGATTGAACTCAGGTCCCTGTGCTTTTGAGACAAGCCCCTTACTGACTGAGCTATTTCCTCAGAACATCTCAATAAGTAAGTCTGAACTTGGATATTTTGTGGGTTTTGTTCTCCACTGTTCCATCCTATGATGACTGTCCTTAATGTGGTGATATATTGTGTACCCTAATAAAGCTTGCCAGAGGACAGAGCCAGCTACTAGATTGGACATAGAGGCCAGACAGTGGTGGCACACACCATCTGGATCTCTGTGTGTTCAAGGCCATACTGGAAACAGAGCCAGGCAGTGGTGGCACACACTTTTAATCTCAGTACTGGGAAGCACAATGCCTTTAATCCCAGGAAGTGATGGAAGGGCAGAGAAAAGTATATAAGGCCTGAGGAAACAGGAACTAAAGCAGTTCAGCTGAGACTCTTTTGGGTGAGGATTCAGAGGATTTCAGTCAGAGGATTTGTGGAGTTGGTGAGGTAATAGGTGGTGGCTGTGGCTTGCTCTGCTTCTCTGATCTTTCAGCTTTCACCCCAATATCTGGCTCTGGGTTTTTTATTAAAAGACCATCTAAGATTCAAACAACAGTCCTTAAAGTTACTGCTTAGGCCCTGGGCACAACTCTCCAATGCATGCGGATGAAATTTTTAAAACTGGCGGCATCCTGTTCAGGAACCTCAGACAGGAACTGAGGCCAAGGAGATTGAGAGGTTTAGTGGTGGGTATGAGATTAGAACTCACTTCCTTTCTCCTGAGCCCAGCCTCTGTGGCTCTCAGGCTGCCTTACAGAGCAAGGCAACCCCAGCAGCTGAAAACATTTGTGGCACCAACAGCTCGTATTCACAAACTCATCAAAACCTGCTTCTCCGGCCTGGTGTGGTGCACATAACTGTAAGATCAGACCACAGAAGCTGAGGCAGGAGGATCTTGAGTTCCAGGCCAGCCTGGACCACACTGTGAAGTAAAGACTAGCCTAAATTTCTCAAACAAATCAACAACCTCAAATCCATGTATGGTGAAAAACACTATAAAGCCACTGCCCAAGTCTTCTAGAGTTATTTATCACACCCCCAAAGCACCCTGGGGGCAATATTCTCATGCTTATGATAAATGGGCAGGATTCTATAAAATTTCCCTGAAATAAATTTCACTAACATAGACCAGAATGATTTAAAGCCCAGAAAGGCATTTCCCTTGCTTAATGGACTTTCTACACATATGATACATTGAACCACAAATCAAAGCACAAGTGTCCCAAAGAGACACCCTTTAGTCACTGGGAAATAATGCTTTTGCAGACACCCATGTGCTAAGTTCCATCCTCTGGCCACTGCATGCTTCAGAGAATGAGTCTGGCAAGTCCTAGAATGCACTTAGAAAGGAAGGCCCAGAAACAAGTTAGGCTGCTGAGCAGCACACCATATTATCTTTGCAGTCTGGTTGAGTGATATCCAAGTTATGACTACTTTTTCCAAATGAGGAGACACCCAGAATGCCAGGTGTGTCCTGGCATTTGTGTGAAGAGCAAATCCTCAGAGGCCTTCTCCATTCACCAGTGTGGTGGTTTGAAGGCAAATGGCCCTCATAGACTTGTGTTCGAATGCTTGGTCCCCAGTTAGTGGAACTGTTTGGGAAGGATTAAGAGGTGTGGCTTTGTTGCAGGTACATCACTGGGGGTGGGCTTTGACTCCAAGAATGTAGAAGTCTTAAAGAAAAGTGCTGGGTAGGGGGACTTTGGAGCTGGGTCCCCACAAGCTGTCCACTCCCCTGATGTTTTAGGAAGGAATCTGCCTCCAGGAGCTCCTGAGTCCTGCTGCTTCCCCTTTGTGCTGTGACTTGTGCCCCATGGTAAAAAAGATAAAAATGGCTGTTTAAAAAGCCCACACCAGCTAGGCACGCCTTTAATCCCAGCACTTGGGAGGCAGAGCCAGGTGGATCTCTGTGAGTTCGAGGCCAGCCTGGTCTACAGAGCAAGATCCAGGACAGGCGCCAAAACTACACAGAGAAACCCTGTCTCAAAACAAAAAACAAAAACAAAAAGCCCATAGGCCCAGTTTGTCTGTCTGTCTCCCTCCTTCTGTCCGGAACATACCCCTGCCCACTGCTACTTGTGGATTGGGTGTGAGCTCTCAGCTTCTTCTCTAGTTCCATGCCTCCTTGCCTTCTGCCACACTCCCTGCCAGGATGCTGGACTAACCTTCTGACACTGTAAGCAAGCCCCCAATTAAATGCTTCCTTTTATAAATTGCCTTGGTCATGGTGAACAGCAATAGAACACTAAGACAACTGGTGATTCTTCAAGGGTCATAATCCACAGAGAATGGGAGTGTGTTCATGCTTGGTTCCCTAATTAACACTGTGAAGAAACCACCCATACTTCAGGTTCCGCTTTCTCTAATTAGCTCAACTCTAGCAACTGACAAATAGTGAAATACCTCAGATGGGGGTTCCTCCACCTTCTGCTTAAACTTACATGACAAGCCTCTGTAGGCCCCCACCCTTCCTTCCTCCCATGCCTGAGACTCTAGGCAGAGTCCTAAGGGGATAGGGCCCATGGAACTGCCAGACCCACCCAAGATCACTCACTTTCTGCTAGCCAGTGTGCCCAACCTTTTGACATGCAAAATGGTCTTATCATCTGCAAAGTTCATGCTTGAGAACCATGCACTTGAGTTACAAAAAAAAAAAAAATTCATGTTTTAAGCAAGGTTACAATTATGTGCTGGGTTGCATTCATAGCCACTCTCCACCGCATGCAGTCTGAGGGTTACAGGTAGTACCCACGTGCTGGTTAACTTACCTCATTAATTATGATCCTGCTGGCCATCCGTAGTCGGGTTCTGGGCCCAAACTTGTTGGTGATCATGATACGCAGGCCAGCCTCAGGGAAGGTGAACTTGGGAGGGCTGGAGCTCATAATCTCATCCACCATCACCACGGGAGTCTTGCCATAGGGAAGTTTTTCCTTCACTGTAGACCACACCCCATGATCAGTGTTGAATCTTTGGAGGACAGTGCCCTAGTGATAGGGGCTAACTTCCCCTCATGGTCAACATCTTGGGGCTATGCTTGGCAGCTGGTAGCTACTCAGAGACTTGGCTTCCTTCTGAAATACCCATGACTCAGCAAGTTAGACAGAACCAGCAGGTACTTTGCTACCCATGTGCTACATCTGGCCCCTCTAATGGTCGGTGCCTGACTCTCTCAGATCCCTCTTTTCTGGGGTTCAGCCTTGGCTGGCTGCAAGGGTCTTTCAGTGTCTTTCCTAGGACTCACTGGGATAACCTTCCTATGCTATAGACAGGTCCCTGCACCTGTCACTCATGACCAAGTCAGGACCACCACCACCACCCTGATTTTCAGACACTTGGATGAAACTTTCCAAGTCAATAAGGGTCTTTAGGAGTGGGAAATGCTGGGAAACAGAGGACAGTGCCACTGTAACCTTTCCTGGGGTCCTTTTCTCTGTCTTGAAGTGAGTCATCTTCACTGCTACTGGGGTGGCTGCTTCCAATTTTGTTTCCCAGAAGGCAGGCAGGGTGGTCAAGGATTTGGCCCCAGGCCCTAAACTAGATGTCAGGGGTCCTACAAGGAGTCCATTGTCTGAGGACATGCGGCTATCTGGACTCAGTGTCTTAGATGAACCTTGACACCCTCCAAGTGGTTGGCTGCCCTCTCCAACTCGTTCCTTTCCCTTGGGAGACAGAACATAAGGCCCAGTCCTGTGCCTGTGCCCATAGGAGCTTGGCATGGCACTCCATGTTCCAGGGAAAGTAATCAAACCACTCACGAACACAGCACCTTGAAGCAAGTAGCATATCCCCTTGAAGGGGCTAAGAAAACAGGTATGTTCCTCTGCACCCATTACCAGATCCTGTGGCATCCAGCATGAAGAGGTGAGTGACCAAGGAGCAGGTTCAGAGGGCAAAGTCATGCAGAAGTTAATGGTATAAAAATGCACAAAATGCACACACAGCAAACAGCCCAATCCTCCACCCCCCGCCCTAGCAAACACACTCACAAACACTACACCCCACACAGGCAGCAAGGCTCAGCAGACAGGAGGCAGGTGGATTAGAAATAGCCGGAGGCCCATGCGCCTGTCCAAGATGGACACTAACCTCCACAGAGGTGGACAGTGTGGGGCTTGGCTCACGGATTGTGTTTATTGCTTAAAAGCATGTGTTATGGCCAGGATGAGAACAGATTACTTACAATTTAGAAGAAGAGTTAAGGACACAGAGGCCGGCACAGATGGCCACAGGTGGGTTAGCGTGCGGCGGCAGAATCTGGGGGCAGAGCTCTTGCTGGTGATGGGGATGCCGGGGGTTACATGAAGGAGGGTGTTAGTAGCAGGATCCTTTCACAGGGAGCCTCGATGCTCTGGGCTGCCAGAGGGAGGGGCACCAGCAAACCCCTGTAGCAGGTACCACACTCCAATCTGTAGAACCAGCCTCATTACAGGTACCCCACGGAGAGCACTTGGCCTCAAAAGCTTGTGGAGCCGGTGAGGCAGGAGCTATGACCCCTGCCTCCCTTCCCCCATCATGCCCAAGCTGAGAGTAGTAGGCCAGAGGGTACTCAACCGCAAGATGCTTTCCAGGCAGCGCCATCCAAGGCCTGGTATTGCCTTTCCCGTCTCTTTCTAAACTTAGGCCGTGTCTAACACCAGGGCAGCTTGGAAGGGCCCCTTGGGAGCTCTCTGAGCTAGATCAACTTCATCCAGTATGGCAGCTGGTGGCCAGGCAGACTTGGCTGCAAGGCTGTGAACAAGGCCACCAGAGAACCAGTCAGGAGGCTGAAGCCATGAGCTGAGCTACATGGTGTCTAAGAATATTAAAGTACAAAAGGGCTTCTCCCTGCTTCTCCAAATAAGCTGAGCTTCAAGCTTTAGATTTTATATGAGAAATGCAGGGTTGGGGAGAGCAGGTTATTTCCTATTTATTCTTCCTAGAGGCTTGTGTGTGCCAGCCAAGCACCCTACCATTGAGTTACAAGCCCAGCCCAAGGGACTCCTTGAAAGTCAGGAGGCAATTCAGACATCCTCTTCTGTGGTGTGGCTGGAGAGCCACTTGCCAGGGGGCTGAGGATGGCAAAGGAAGTGATGTTATCTCCTGGCAACATTGTTAGACAACCAAAGTGGGAAGTCCTGGTCATCTCAGTCCTGGGGGGCGGTCACTGGGAGCTCTTCCTGCCACTCTATTCAGGGGAAATTATGTTGTAGCAACTTGCAAATGGTCCCAGGGAGTGTCTTCTGGGGATAGTAAAGATCAGATGCAACCCCTGAGTCTACATGTCTAGGTGGAGACCTCCCGAAACCTAAAAATCAAGGCCTGTACCTCATTATCTAACCTTCTGGGACCATTTTCTCCCACGGCCTCCCCTATAAATGCATCTGTTTAATAAGGGGTAAGAGACTCGCTTCTCCCTCAGTCCCAGTGCCTGGGCCAGCTCTGTGATCAGTCTTCCAACTTTCTAGAAGTTACCCTGGACGTAGAGATGGTGGTGTTAAACCTATGAAGTCCTACTGTCTCTGAGCACAAAAGTGATGGAGAGTCACCACAGAGCTCCAGAAATGGGCCATGCATGCGGGCAGCAGGCTTGGAGAGTCTGGACTTCCTAGGAAAGTTTGAGCTGGGGATCCCAGGGTACTGGGAATGGCTCTCACAGGGTACTGGGGTTGGGCTTCACTGCCAGCCTCAGGACAGGAGGCAGCTCTTGGGCAGTTCATCAGGAAGTGGGCGTGTCCTGATTCTCCACTCAGATATTTCTTCTTTGCCAACCAGGTTCAAAGGACCTTCCAGTACCACTTACGTGCTGAGCAGGGCAGTCTCTATCCTGCCAGACTTTGGGACCTGCAATGGGTACCCCCAGAGTCCCTGTGACAATGGAGGTTAAATCCCAAATCATGGCCAGTGTTGGAGCCTCCCCCTTAGTGGATGGTGTCCCACAACCTGCTCCCTGTGACGCCTGCTTGGAATTTAGGAAACACCATGTGTAACACCTTCGTCTCCATGATGTAGGCTTCCTTGGTTCTCTCCCTCATGAGTGTGCCTCCAGTGGCTAGAGTGGGTTCCCCTGAATTGAAAACCCTCTCCTGTCTCAATGGGTTTCCTCCTTCCACGTAGAAAGATGTGTCATTCAGTACAGCATCTGTGGCAAGTGCCTTCCTCTTAGGAAAACCCAAGACAGGACAGGAGACACTTGTGCAAAACGTATCCGAGAGGAAACTTCTGCCTTGCTCTGCCCAGGACAGAGGCTGCAGAGGGCCGAGGAACACAGGTTCCTTAGCTACCAACATAGGCAAGGAGAACCTCTGAGACCACCCACTCCTGATATGACAAGCAAGTTAAAGACCCCTATGAAATGTTGAGACTTGCCTGGGGCATTGAGAAATAAGGGTGGAGGATGCCTGAAGTGGACCAAGGATGTCACATAGCTTTGGATTTCCTTTTCCTAACACAAGCACCATTCAGGCTTTAATGCTGGTCTAGATGGGACAGCTGTCCCATGGTGGGGGTGTTACCTGACAGCTGGCTGGATTATTAAGAATTGAGGCTATTCCCAAGAAAGCAGCTCTCAGATCAAGAAAATTCAAAGGCTGTGATCAAGAAGACAGGGCCTGGCTCCAGAGGCTCCCAGTTCCCAGAGGAGCCAGGGTCATGAAGCTGCTTTTAGGAGTGGGCCTGCCACCAGGCCTCTGGGTTGGGCTGGGCTGCCTGTGAAGCTCTGAGGCTGTCCCTTTAGGTAAGTGTTTGCAAGCCTAGGAGTTGACACTTTTCAGGATGGATTTCTCAGGGACAAGGCCTGGTACTTGAGATGCACAGGAGGCCTAGGTTCTGTCACTTAAGCTTCCTATTCTGGGCTTTTCTCTTGGGCAACAACATTGCATCTCTAAAGTCAATCAGGCTTCCCACCTGCCTCTGGAAGCATGGGAAAATGTCAATGATTTAATTCATGTTTTTTTTTTTTTTCCTTTATAGGAATTTCCCCTTCTAGCCTTTCTTATTTAAGTGAATGTTAATCTGAGCAACATCTCAATGTGGGTCTTCTTTTCTCATTTGGGGTGTGCATGACTAAAGGTTGATGGTAACAGTGTGTGTGTGTGTGTGTGTGTGTGTGTGTGTGACTGTTCTGTGTGTCTATGTAAGAGTGGCTTCCACAAGGGTCCACAGCTCCTGTCTGCTCAGCCTTACCTTGCCCCAGCAATGGCACAGAAGGGTCGTCATAGCTACCATCATAGAGGTCATTACCATCTTCCAGCTCGCTGCTGACTGGGTTACCATTTGCAATGCTCTTTTGTTTGGTTGTGAAAAACGTCTGCATCTTCATATTGTATCTGTGAGTCAGGTAAGGCAGGAGGTCAGAGCAGTGGAATGGGGGATTCTCACCCTCCCAGGTGGGTGGTGTACCAGGCATACAGTGAACAGGGCGTTGGGCATGGACGGTAACCAGGGAGGCTCTCTAACGGAGTTGAAGGGGTTTCTCAGCAGGAACGTTGGGATCATGTGTGGTCTGGAGGCACCTGCTTCTACTGGGCTATAGTGCCCTCCTGGGGGTGTCAGAAGCCTTACAGCCAAATGCATTTAGTGCTTCGTATGAGCTTATCCTAATAAAAGCAGTTCAGTCCAAGCAGCAGGACAGATGCAAAGGTGGCATCACCACCATGCCTTTTCCCTCCCCCAAAAGCAACTGTTGCTCAAGTGGCTGCTTGGTGACCATCTACCTCCCATGTCATTCATGGCCAGCACAGCCATCCCCTGAGAGAAGAGAGTGACTCTCCATCTCTAAGCCTCTCTGCTGGCTGTTCACTAAAAAGCTGTTGATGGGCAGTCACTGAGGAATTCTCGAGCTGCTGGACACTTTAATTCTCCACTTTAGAAAGTATATTTTGTGAAATATTTATACAATACTATGTTTTATATAAAGGCGAGGACCTTCATAACACCCATGGTGTTGTCTTTTTAATTACATGAGAGAAGAGAAACCTGCATGTAGCTAGGCTCATGAGTATTCATAAGTAGTTATTTTTTGTTATAGTTATGTGCGTATACACACATACGTATGTATTATATATACACACACACATATATATATATATATAATTTATAATTATAGTTATTTCCTATGTTCTAAGAACACACTTTGGTGATGCTGACTATATTTACTACTATACAATCATCACTAATATTTACCCAACTTTTTTTATCATCCCAACAGCAAGCCTACACCCATTAATCAGTCCTCATCACTCCAGCCTCTCACTGACCTCTAATCTATGTTGTCTCCACAGACTTGACCCTTTGGGATACCGTGTGAACACTGGATTATATCTAACATTGGCCTTTGGGTAATAGCCATTTTATATATACATTTGGTGAGTTTTTAAAAGTTCATCTGTACTAAGGCATGTGTCAGAATTTCATCTTTGAGGCTGTCTAGTCTTCCTTATGGGTCGTTTTAAGGTAGTTCAGACTCAAGCAGCTTCCCAAGTGGCTCAAGGTTTCCCAACCCAGAATAGAGTGCTTGCACCCCCAGAATTATGAGTGGGGTTCTGTTGCCAGAATAAGCAGTGGCCCCGAAAAGTGGCATCTGATAAACCCTGGGCAGAGGTTAAGTTGAGTCTTTTGAGAATGGTATTGTTACTAGATTTATTGAAACAGCAAAAGAGTGGTTACCCTGGCGCAGAGGAGTTGCCCAGAGCAGGGAGGGACACAGGTCTTTGCTGGGGATTCATTTTCAGAAAGCAGTGTCTATTTGCCCTACATCAACCACCCAACATTGTCCCCTAATTTGGGAATGGACTACACCAGTGTCTGAGCCAGTACCCCACACTGGATGCCCTGAATGATGTACACTAGAGAATGAAGGCTTCCCCAAAGGAACTGGAAGATGGGATGGAGGATATTCCCTGTTCTGACCAAAGACATGAGTAGGATATGAAGGAAAGGGTACCTCCAGGTCTCAAGGAAGGGGAGAGGCCACTTACTTCATGATAAGAATATAAAACACATACAAGATGATGAGCACCAGGCCTTCCCACCTTGGAGAGATAAAGGAGAGTGTGGTTAGAATGCAGGAGGTCATGGTGCCCGCAAGCTGGGGCTACATGGTCAAGATTAGTGGCAAGGTAGGATACCCTTGCTTTTCTGTCCCTGAGATTCAGGTGGGACATCCCAGCATAGGGATGTTTAATCATAGAGAGTCCTCTTGGTAACTGAGAGAAGGCTGGGTCTGGTTCTTCTCAATCATAGTGGTCTCCAGAACTCAGGAGAACCCCACCCCCAGCTATCACTCCCAGATGCCAAATCCCATGGCCTTAGCCCTAAGAGAACGTAGGCCCACTCAAGAGTCTGTTCAGGGACAAGAGGCTATGGGAGCAGGCAGGAAAAGCTCAACCCCTGGATGAGGGGCATGGTGGAACACAGAAGCCTCTGGGGCCATCCACTAGCACAGTGTGGTACTGTCTTTTGGGAACATTCTACCACTGCTGTCTTGTGGATATAGTCCAACCCCACAAGTTATGTATGTGGGGAGTGGGGTTGCATCTGTGATCACAAACTTGAGAAGCCACACAGTTTTTACTTCTCTGACAATGTGCTGAAGTCTCTGCATACTGAGCTTGGCCAGTCATTCTGGGAGCCCATCCTTTGCTAACATGCAGCCCATGGGCCAGAAATGGACCTATAGATCATCTCAGTATGACTATCCCAAGCCACCCACAGCTGAAGAAATTAGACCAGGGGTGGCCTTTAACTAGGGCTCTCTGGGTGCTGGGCATAAAGCTACTCTTGTCGAGCAACTGATGTTCTTAGTGGTCATCTGAGTGTATTCTCAGAAGTTGTCACCTACAGGATGCATATTCTGGACCATGTCAGTGACCAGGCAATTGTGTGGCATATGAACTGAGATGCCAACATACCCCATGGAGGAGGGTAGAAGAATCAACTTATTCTTCAGAAGTTTGTACTTCATGAATTTCAATTACGAAAGTCAATTCCAAAAATAAAAAAAAAAGAAAGTAAATTCCTATTTAGTGTCACAAAGATGAGCAAGTCCTTGTATTTTCTTACAAAAATTATTTTAAAAAATTTGCTGATTTTGGTGTGTATGCACATGGTATACGTGTGTGTACATATATATATGTGCATACAGATGCACACCCACATGCACGTGAGGCCAGAGGTTGTTACTGGGTGGCTTCCCCAATCATTCTCCACTTTATTTTTTGAGACAGGGTCTCTTACTGAAACTGGAGCTCACTGATTGGGCCAGACAGGATGGCAGAGAGCCCCCAGTGATCCGCCTGTCTCTGCCTCTCCAGTGCTGGGATTAGGATGTGTGCTCCCATACCGGGCTTTTCATGTGGGTGCTGGGGATCTGAACTCAGATCCTCTCTGCTTGTGAGGCAGGTATTTCCCAGCTCCTTGATTTTTATAGTAAGACCTTTAAGTCCCCTGAGCTTGATTCTTCTACAAGTCATAAGGGAGGGATCTGCATGACATGCCTTTGTCTCAGTGGCATCTGAGACCCTATCCCTCACTCACTGCCTTGCCAGGGCACCTCTGCTTCTTTTCCCTCCCAGAAACAGACCCACAACCAGATCCTTCCTCACTCTTGCTTATCTTCATGTAAAGTAGGATTGCCCTCATTAGTTTTATGTGTATCTTGATAGCAGCTGGGCAGGTACCTTAGGGGAAATGATTCTTGTCACTCTAATAGGAGACAAAGGCAAGGCTGGTTAGAATGATAGCCCCATCATTTCCATAAGCTAGCAAATCTATGCTTGCAAAAATAAATCTGAAAATGATTTGGTAACCAACTGGCAATTAACAACAACAACAACAAAAATGTTAAAAACTTACCACACAATTTCTTCATCGTATATGAACTAGAAAGCAAAGAAAACAAAGGGATACACTTATTACAAGGGAACATGTGCTTCTGCCCACTGGCTCAGTGTGGTCATCCCAAGAGAGCTGGCCTGTATTTTCTTATAGCTCAGGTAGTTGCTGGGGCAGACCTGGCAGGAGCTTCCCCTGCTATGAGAACAGAGTTGCTAAAATTCAAGAGAATTCAGAGAAGACAGCTATACAACTATGCCTACATGTATGTCACACGTCTGTGGCTTTGGGGCTAGTTTTCTTAAAAAACAAAGAGTGACCAGCTGTCTAAATGAAGGCTGTGCGTGTGTGTGTGTGTGTGTGTGTGTGTGTGTAGGAGAAAAGTGGTAGAGGGACAATGATGTAATTCAACACATAGGCTAATCTTAAGTTCCAACTTGCCTGGCTTCAGGGTACCCAGATAGTTTGTAGAATATTATTTCTGGTGTGTCTGTGAGGGTGTTCATGGAAGGGACTGGCATTAGAATCAGTGGACTGAGAAAGGAAGATCTACCTTCATTCATGATGGGTGGACACCATAAATTAGCTGAGGACTCAGAGTAAAAAGGCCCAAGGATGGTCACTATGACCCCATTCCCTCTCCTTCCAGGTTCAGCCTTTTAACTCTACAACTTATACCAGTTGGTGCCATGGTTTCTCAAGCCCTTGGCCAGCTTACAGGTGGCATGGTCTAAGATCACTTGAGCCCATTCCTCAATACATCTCCATCCATCCATTCATCTGTCCTTCCACCCATCAGTCCATCTACCCATCTCTCAGTCTATCCATCCACATCTACCTACTACTTCATCTATTGGTCTCATATTAGTTTTTTTTTTTCTGCACAACCCCAACTAACATGCCTCGCATCCAGCATCTCTGAGACAAGACACAAATGAAGGATGCTCTGTGGCCAAGGGAAGGGGTGGACTCCACAGCCAAGTGTAGGAGGAGGTGGCAGGGATGCTCCCAACAACCTGACCATGGAAACAAAAGGGTCCCTACATACGGTACCAGAAGAGGCTAGGGGCTCTTGTCTGGACTTGGGTCTACTGTCTGTTCAGTGGGCAGCACACACAGGCCCTGCTTTAGGAAGTCACTTCAAGCTCCCTAGTTAGACATCATTGGGAGCCTTTTGGACCCAAGGCTCTGAGGAAGGCCACTCGACAGAGGGAGAAGGAGAATCTGGGATGCTTTTACAGGGACAATTTTAGCTTATACAGCCCAAAGGAGGGCTACTGGCATTTACAGGCAATGACAGCAAGAATGTGAGGGGAACAAGACATGGAGACAGTTCTACACCATGAGGTTTTTTTTTCTTTCACATTTGAGATGAGAAATATATAATATGTAAAATACATAGTAAATATGTTACAACAAATCCAGGCAACAGAAAAACAATGACCTTGACTTTAACTCGACTGCACAAATCCAAGTGTTTAAAGTGAATATTTAATTCACAGTCAGGGAAATTTACAAAAACTGAAGAATGTTCCTGGGTCATTTTAGTGTTTTATGAGGAATAATTCATTATCTGGGGAATCACTTCACAGTGGGGAGGGGGGCACCATCCCTGGGGTCAAGCCCCAAACACTGGCACTCGTCTGCTTCTGCAGTGGAGGGCTGGGAGAGTTTCTGGACGGGCAACAGATGACATCATTGAATATTCCAGGGACTTTCTGCCAAAATGATTACCAAAAGAACGTCAGGCTTTTATGAGTTATTTTTATTGCCCATTTATGGTATGTTTAGGGTACTGTGGATTTATCTTTTGAAATTTCACATAGGTATCCTGTTTCCCCTCTCAATGTCATTTTCTGAGTGTGGTGGGAAGTTTCTGAGCTGGCCTTGGTAATCCTACTGATTATCTATGTTCCCTCTGAACATGGGGGGAGGGTGGAAGCTGCTCACTTGCCTCTGGCCATTTCCAAGGTGGAAGCCACAGCCTTTTGGTAACCTGACCTTCTCACCTCCTCACCTCTGCTGTGAGAGCAGGCGCCTTGCAAGCTACACTGTGGGATGGCCTACAAGGCCCTGAAGTTAGCTGACAGCTACCAGAGTGTTCCCGAAGAGGGTACTCACCTGACTGTGTGTCCTGAGACCCTTCTCTTCCTAGCTCAGCCACCTCCAGATTTCTCACTTGCGGGGTCACTGCTTGCTGTCCTAAGCTGTTAGGTTTGGGGACCCTTTTTTTTGACAGCACCTCACTATAATAGCCAAGACAGGCCTGGGCCTCACATTCCTCTTGCCTTAGCTTCCCAGGAGCTATACCTCTGACCCTTGACTGCAGGTGCGCCCCCCACCCATGCCCAGCTTTGGAGGAATTTTGTTATAAAGCAGTAGATAACTAATATAAGGGGAGTCATACCCCTGGGTCTAGAAAGATAGAAAACTGACACCCATGTCCTTGGAATCAGCATGCCACAGGCATCTGTCCTTGTGCTTCACTGTAGAGATCAAACTGTTCCCCTATGGATGGCACACACTTGACAGTGTGCATCACTGTATGGGCCACAATGCCCCCCCAGCCCGTGGGACCTGAGGGAGTATATTCCACACTGACGGACCCCAGGGGTCTTCTTTTGGCTCCTCTGCCTTTTCACCCTTGCCCTTGCCCCTGGCTCCCAGCTGCCCCCTGTGATGGCTTTGAGGCTGCCCTCTCATGTGCTGCAGTGTCGGACCCAGAAACTTGCTTCTTCTTACTTACTTTGCAGTACTGACTCCAGGCCCTTTCTTGCACACTCTAGGCAAGCACTCGGCCACTGAGCTACATCCGCACATTTCTACAGTTTTCATTCTGAGATATGGTTGCCCCAAGTCACCGAGGTTGATCATGTTCCTCCAGCCACAGTCTCCTGGTTATCTAGGTGATAACCCAGCTTGAAACCTGCTTCCTAGAAGCAGGTCTGAAGAGTGAGTGGGTCTCAATGTAGGGTTGGGAGGGCCTCATGTGAGTTCATGCTTGAACTTCCACCTTATATATATATTTTTCCCGAGGCTTTTAATCATCAAAATAGTCCTGGATTGAGTTGCATTATGCAGAGACCAAAGATGAGGTCTTCAGAAAGGGAGGCGTAGTGTGGGTAGAGGTGTGGGTAGAGGTGTGAGGGGCCCATGTGAACACAGAGAGGGGTCAACACATTCCACTGTTGCTGCTGTGACATCTCTTCGTCATAGGGTCAAGAACAGACAGGCAGGCACCTGTGCCTTCGCAGGGCCCTAACCACCCAACACTTGGGGTGTTTTGGGGGTGACTCACCGCTATGAGCACGACGACAGAGAGTGTGTAATACACAGAGTCACGGCACACAGCCCACCATGTCAACCGCACCACCTGCCAGGGCAGAGACAAGTCATCAGCTGCCATTGCCTAGAGGCTGGGAATGCAGCCAGCTGCCCAGAGAGCTGAAGGATGGGCCTCGGGGTGCCTCCCCACCTACCTCTAGCTCCTGGATACAGCTGGGGAAGACAACAGAACCAAATAAAGTTCTCAGGTGTGGGGAAACCAGAAACTGGCTCTAGTCCTCTGTGGTGGTGGCTAGGCACATTTCACAGCAGGAGCTGGCCATTGAGGTAGAGCAAGGAGCATCACCATGTCCTGTCCGCTGCCTACCTCTGTCACCCTGAGCAAGGTAGGGCCTTGCCATGATCTTCTGCTGTGAGGCAAGCCTAACATTCCCTGAGACTCTGACCTCCTGTCAAATGGGTTCCGACCACAGTTAGCCTTGTGCCTGCAGAGGAGGCAAGCAGCCCAGATGGCTCTAAGACCTCACTCCAACCAGGGTCCAAGGAGATCCTTCTTAAGTAGCTGTTGCTGTTGCATGAGTGCCCACCATAAACTGGCCAGGTCCACCAACATGGCTCTAGCCTTTCATGCTCTCAAGCTGGTGGAAGGGAAGGAGTGCCAAGGTCACTGCATAGGGGAGGACATGGGTTCAGAGGAGAATGTAGATAAATGATATGACCAGGATCATCAGGGTGTCCCTATTGCCACCTCGCCAACCATCTCAGGAGAAGCTCACCCCCATTCTACAGGGTATTGGTTAGGCAGGCAAAGAAAAAAAATCTACTGACCTGTCCAGCAAAGAGTCCACACACTCCAATGATACATAGGATGTTGAACACAGCAGAGCCCACAATAGTCCCCACACCGACATCTCCGTGGGTAATGAACACACCTGGAGTGAGATAATGGCCAAGCCAGAGAGTGGGGCCCTGGGAACCTGCTATTCCCATGCACTTATGTTTTGCTATTCAATCAAATTAAATGTGTCATCGTCATTATATGTATGGTGTGTGTGTGTGTGTGTGTGTGTGTATACACATGTGTATACATGTATACATGTGTGGTAGTCAGAGGACAATTTTCAGTAGTGGGTTGTCTCCTTGGGTTTAGGGGATTGAACTCAAGCCTTCAGGCTTGCATGCTAAGCACTTTTACTGGCTGAGCCATCCCATGTTTTTAAATAACTTTATTGAGACATAATTAACATGTCTAGTGATGCAGTCCAGCAGTTTGGCAGATCCACAAAATTTTTTTTTTTTGGTTTTTTCGAGACAGGGTTTCTCTGTGTAGCTTTGCGCCTTTCCTGGGACTCACTTGGTAGCCCAGGCTGGCCTCGAACTCACAGAGATCCGCCTGCCTCTGCCTCCCGAGTGCTGGGATTAAAGGCGTGCGCCACCACCGCCCGGCACAGATCCACAAAATTTTACAACCAAAGCCATAATCTAGTTTTAGAACACTGTCATCTCATAAGAAGCCCAGTGCCCATTAGGATCCCACACTCTAAGAAACCACCAATCTACTTCCTGCCCCTCTGACTCCTTGGGCTTACAGGTAGGGAAACTGAGTCTCGGAGCAGGTAAATGCCCCACCGCACCGGGCAACAAGGCATGGCTCTCTCTGCACTGTGTCCTAGCTGTCTGGTGTCCTTACCAATGACAGAAGCAAACAGTTCTGGTGTCGAGCTTCCTGCAGCCATGAAGGTGGCACCAGCCACATCTTCACTCAGATGAAGTTTCTGGAACAGAGAGAACACAGGCGACCGGGGTGTGACAGGGTGGAGTGGACACAGCCACTCTGCTGGTGGGCAGCAAAAAGCTCTCAGTGGCCCAGTTCCGGTCTAAGCCCAGCTTTGCAGCCATGGCCTCTCCTCCAGAAGCACACACCCCATGCCGTCTGCCAGACTTCAATTCTCCCTTTCCCTCCTGACCCATCTGTCTGTTCTTCATTCTCTACACTCTTAGATCCCTGTCCACGACTCTTGAGGAAGTCTTCCCAGCATTCTCAGAGTCAGCCACACCCTCTCAGACCCCATCTGTTTTACCCTCATCGAGCAGATTCTGTGATGAGGGTTTGCAGTACACACGCTCACCTTTCCCTCTGGACCACCAAGGTAGAGCTGGCATTTGCCACCTGTGGGTCCCTAGAGCCTAGAACAGGTTGGAGTCTGCAGTGGTGTACAATGAGGGTCTTGAAGCTGTCCTGAGGCTGTGGGATCTGGACCCCAAAACATGCCTGGTTCCTACATTCTGGATGCTTCTCCATGGCAAGCCCAGCACCCAGACAGAGTCTCAGACACCCAGAGGGCCTGTTCCCAGGATTGAGCTGGCATGGGACAAGGTTAGGAACTTTTTGTATGAGTCCATGCTGCTCAGCAAGGCCATGTTCCGGCCATGGAGGTCCATCATCTGATCCCAAATGGAAGACAGGGAACCCCTAGGTAGCCCTAGGTGGTCTGGGCTCTGGAGTCCTGCAGGAAGTTTGGGGCCAGCATCTCCTCCCCAGTGGTCAGCTAGCTACAGAAGGGTCAGAGCTCTGGTCTCAATACAGACTAAGGACCTAGCACTGCTCCCCAAGTCCACCTACCTCAATGCCGCCCAAGGGACGTCTGCAGAGGAGTCAGGTGCCCCACCTAGCATCTGCAGCCACTTCTGCAGGATGGTGCCATGCTGCCTGCTGCTCTGTCACTCCCTGGCCTTGCCCTGCACCTTTCTTCTCCCTAGAATCCTTTCTTCTCTGCTTGCTGAAAATACTCCCAGTTTCCCCAGCCTGGACAAACGCCATCTCCTCCAGGAAGCCATCCTAGGCCTCTGCTTAACAGTGACCTTCCCTCCCTCTCGATTCCTTGTCATCAAAGGTCCTTAAAGGAGGACTAAGCCCAGAACCCTATTCATCCTCCTGTCCTTCTGGCCACAGGCAACCCTGACAGCACCTGGCAACCTCAGTATTTGTAGCCCTAGCCTGTTTTCATGGCTTTCTCTCAACCTCAGAGGGCAAAGAGGTACCCACCCCTACTGCTGTGGTTTTCCAAAGCTATCAGCCTAGGAGGGGCCTGGATGTGTGCTCAGTGTACGTTAGTATGATACAAGGTATTTCCCAAAAGGCTCCTGGGGTAAAGGCTTGGTTCCCAGTGCAGCGGGTGTTCGAAGCTGGGCTTTGGGAAGTGACTGGATCACATGGGCCCTGACCTCATCCATGGATGAAGTCACCAGTGAAGTCATAGTTTTGATGCTATGATCTGAAGGCACTGGAAACTTTTGGAGGTGGGACCTTGAGAAAAAAGTGGGCCACTAGGAATGCATTCTTGGGGTAGCAATTTGTCTTCAACACCTGCCTGTCTGCTTCTGGCCACCATGAGGGGAGTAGCTTTGTTCTATCAACCCCCCTGCCATGGTGTCAGCCTCATTACAGCCTAGACAGAATGTAGCTAGCTGACCGTGGACTTAAACTCCTGAAATCAGTGAGCCTAATAAAGTATCTTCTTCCTTAAACTAGTATTTCAGGTAGCTTGTCAGAGACGAAGATCTAACTCACGTAAGTTAGGACCCATGGCTGCATTTTTTTCCTAGGTGAGGGCAGCTTCCAGAGTAGCCACAGCACCCTTGCAGGAACCACCGTCCCCCAGCCTCCATCCTAGGGGCCCTGAGATAAAACCCTCTGCACTAACCTCCCATGTTCTGTGTGTGTGTGTGTGTGTGTGTGTGTGTGTGTGTGTGTGTGTGTGTGTGTGTGTGTGTGTAGGGGGAACAGGGAAGGGGAAGCCTGGAATACTTCTGCCAGCTCACAATTTGGGGGACCCAGGTTCTAAAGCAGCCATTCCCTGCTTTAGAATGTACTGTGCCCAGAAACAAGCTGAGCTGAAGGCAGACATCTGTCCCTAAGAGCCATCTGTCCCCATCCTGACACTGTGACCCCAAAGAGCTGGGCAAGGGGTGGCAAGTCCCCAAGGGGCTGCCCATGGCAAACGCTGCAAACCAAAGTTTTTTTCCTCCTTGGTTAGACACTACAAGAAAGGCACAGCACAGAGGGCCTGGGGTGCTGCACATGGGAAAGGGAAGACGAATGAACAAAACAGCTAAAGGGGACATGGTGTAACCGGGGGACAGAGAGGACTCCTGTCACCATGGCTTAGTGTTCACCCAGGGGAGCACTTAGGGAACGCGGGTTCCCTCGGAGACTGCCGGCCATGGTTTATGGGAAATGTGCCAATGCAGTCACAGGCTTGCCTGTTCCCTTGCTAGCCAGATTCGGCTCACACCCCATTAGAACAGTGGTTCTCAACCCGTGGGTCGTGACCCCTTGGCTCCCATATCAGATATTTACATTACGATTCATAACAGTAGCAAAATTACGGTTATGAAGTAGCAACAAAAATAATTTTATGGTTGGGGGCCACCACAACCTGAGGAACTGTATTAAAGTGTCGAAACTTTAGGAAGGTTGAGAACCACTGTTTCTAGAGTATGATGGCCTGGAGGGTGACTTCACAGAGCCCATGGCTTCTGCTGAGCTTTGGGATGGGACGTCATCACTGACATTGGTTGGCTGTGGCACTAGGCAGCTATATGATGGTCTTCTCTACCAGAGTGCGTCTCTCCTATCCCAGCCTTCCTGTCCTTGTCATCTGTATGACAGACGCTCCTAGTCACCCAGGGCTTTGTGGAGGGTTCCAGGTCCTTTGCACGTACCTCACAGATCTTCTCTAGGGATGGGACAAAGAAGTCATCACACACGATGGCCAGGGCGTAGAACATGTAGAGGGCCTGTGAAAGGAAAGCTGGTTTCAGGGAAGGTCCTTTATACCCACACCAGGCAGAAGCACAAGTGGACAGTACCAGCAACTGAGAATTACTCTCCCCGTATCCTCCCCGACAGACAAGGAAACTGAGGCCTAGAGAAGGGAAACAGAATGCTGAGCAGCAGACAGTCCTAAGTCCAGGCCACACAGTCCTGTGTTTCCCCCCAGCACTGCCACAGAAATCCAGATCTGGAGCTGGGCAGGGCAGTGCATCCCTGCAGCCTCAGTCCTCAGGATGCTACAGTAAGAAGATTGCAAATTCCAGGCTAGCCTGGGCTACCTACCTAGTGAGATCCTATTTCAAAAAAATAAAAGAGAGGAACTGGGAAGACAGCTCAGTTGACCAAGTGCTTGCTGTATAAACATAGGGAGCCGAATTTGCATCTCCTAGTAAGAGGGGATGGAATGTGAATGCCAGGATGTCTGGAAGATAATAACTCCATCCTAGAAATAATACACAGGACCGCAGTTCAAAATTTGCCCACAATTCCCATTCTAACTGCCACTTTCACTAGTGGTTTATCGTGCCAATCACAACTTCACTCATTCGTCATCTTATGTCCTTGTTCTCCACCAGAGAATTAAATTACCTCTAGAAAAGACTAGTGGTTGACAGAATTTAAATTTATAAGCAGTGCTGAGTAGCCCAACTGCTGAACGGGAGGAAATTTGCTGGGGCTGATTTGAAGGAGGAAAAAAAAAAAGCCAACTATGACCAGCTTCACTTTCTGGCAATCATTCAACAGAGTCTTCTACTGGTTCCCACAAGGGCCAGAAAGCAGTTTGGGCTCTGGAGACCACGAACTTCAATGCAGCTTTGCAGTCCTGCCGCTGAAGCTCAAAAGCAGTCACAGAACCTGGGTGGTGGTGGCACATGCCTGTACTCCCAGCACTCGGGAGGCAGAAGCAGATGGATCTCTGTGAGTTTGAGGCAGCCACAGAGATCACAGCAATGAATGGAGTGGCTGTGTTGTAACAAAGAACTTTACTGATGAAGGGGCTGGGGCTGGCTCATTTAGTAGACTGCTTGCCTAGCATACACAAGTCCAGGGGTTTAATCCTCAGTATGACATAAACTGGACAGGGTGGCATACCCCTATAACCCCAGCACTTGGGAGATGCATGAGAAAGGGTGGGTGGGGGGAGCGGATCAGAAGTTTTTGGTCATCCTCAACTACACAGTAGATTTGAGGCCAGCCTTGATACAGGAGATGCTATCTCAAATAAACACATAAATAAATAAATCAACAAATCTTTGTAGAAATAGGCAGGGGGGTGAAATACTTTGGGCTTGACTTCCTCATTCCCACTTAAGTTGCCACTGAACTCTACTGTCTGCCATCAGGGTTTGTCTGAATATGGAGAGGAGATGGCTATGGCCAACCGCCCTGAATGTGCTGGATCTCCTCTGAATGTAAAGGAGAATGAGAAATGTGGCAAAGAGATTTGGAAAGCAGTCACAGGAATCACGGCAGCCAGCATGTACAGAGGACCTGTGTACCACGCCATGTCTGATGCAGTTGATATCTAGTCCTGATGTGTACATGGGGGCCATCACCCCTATTTTATGAAAGTAGAAAATGAGGCACAGGAAAAGAACCACGTCCTTGTGCTAGGAGTGGAGACACTGGGCAAGTCACCCGACATTTAAGAAACGTCTCTTGTTGGGCAAGATAGCCTAGTGTCTAGTCTCTTCCCAGGCTGTTGCAAGGATTAAAGAAGAGTTCAGATACTCTATGGCAGTTGTTCTCAACCTGTGGGTCACGACTCCCTTGGGGGTTCTATATCAGATATTTACATCATGATTCACAACAGTAGCAAAATTAGTTATGAAGTAGTAACAAAATGTGTTTATGGTTGGGGGGGGGTTCACCATAACATGAGAAAATGTATTAAAATGTCACAGCATTAGGAAGGTTGGGAACCACTGCTCTATGGTCATTATACACTATACAGATGGCGTTCCTGCACCCAAAGATTAGTGGCTTCTGGCCCCTGAGGACACTTACACCGAGGATGTGTAGCAGGACAGCGCCATGCTGTCGCTCTTTGTTGGAGAACAGGTCTGTGGGGAACTCGTGAATCGCTGGAAGAGAAAAGGAGACAGCAAAGTGTTAGGTAGCAGGCACCATCAGCAAACCCACCTGAGAACCACAGTCCAGCAAGCAGCTCAGGACTCCCTGGTTTCAGACTAACTGACCAGGGGGAGGCCAGCTGGATCTCAGTGTGGGGCAGACCGGTGCTTTTAGGAGAATGCTGGTTGCTGGATTAGTCACAGATATCCCAGTACTGGAGAGCTGATTGGGATTTAGATCTGCCTTGGGTCCTGAAAGAGAGTATAATGCACTTCGCACACACCGGGACAGCTGCAGTCAGGAAGACAGGCACTGCTGGTGGAATGAGAAATAGGGTGGCTTTTGGAGCGCTCCAGACAATGACACAGTTTGCCCAGGGACAACTCATCTGCCTCAGAGTGCCCACAGCCAGTGGAGGAATGGTCCCTTCTCACTGTGCGTTATCCCATGCTGCTGGGATGCTGTCACAATTGCCATCCCTCAGGTATCTGGAAAGATAGCTGGTCCACAGCAGGCACTCAATAGATGTCCTAGACAGAAACCCTGCTCTGTAAATACAACATGGCCCTAAGCTCCGAAAGCGAATGGTATAAAATCTCACTTTTCAATATCAGATTCCCTTGACGAGAAACTGATTCTGGCAGCTATCCAGGTACCAGAGAGCCTGCCCACTTTGAAGCAAGAAGCACTTAAAGAAAAATGTCTTCATTCCTTTCTTTATATTTTTATTTTCTAATCAAACTTCTTATTAAAGAATTACAGCTACCACATCAAGGGCCTGCATCTGCTACTTGGAGATGGAGAATTATAGAGGAAGAGACTCCACATCCCTGTGGCTGGGATTCTGTTTCCAGAACCTCTGGGACTTTGCAGCATGGATCCTTAGCCAGTGGTTCTGCCCAGAGCTTTCAAGACATTTCCTGATTCTCAAGGCAGTGTGAGGAGAGCTGGCAATTTACACAATCCTGGGGGCATCTTTGAGAATGAGAATAAATCTCTGCTTTTCAGAGATGGAGGACATGTCATCTGGCCTCCAGCCAGGATGGAGCTGTGGCTTATATAAATCACTTTGTCCCTGGTACGACTAGACTTTTCATACAGCCCTGCTGTCTTCCCCGCCCCCCTAAGTGCATGCTGGAAGGCTGCAGGGTACAGTGAATGTCATCCGTAGTCTTAATTTTGGCAGTGAATCAGTAGGTGACCTGTAGAGCTCCCAGCTGCTATGGGCCCCCTATTCTCATGCCCACCCAAAGCTTTTCACACATGGGGATATAGGTGCTGAGATATACATGCACTAGCCTCAGAGAGAGAAGTGACTGGGTGACAGAATCCAAGACTCTGGATTCAGGGCCTCAGGTTCATCTACTTTGGTGTTTTGAATAAGAAATGTCCCCCACTGGTGCTGGCATTTGAATGCTTGGTCCCTGGTTGGTCTGTTTAGGGAGCTTTGGGAGGTGCAGTTTTGCTGGAGGAAGGACGTCATGGCGGATTGGCTCACTGCTTCATACTTGTTGGTGAGATGTGATCTCTCTGTTTCCTGCTCCGGCCACCATGCTTGCCTGCTGCCATGCCTCCCTAACCGTGATGGAGCCTTATCCCTATCATCCTTCTGTAGGTTGCCTTTAGTCATGATGTTCTGTCACAGCAACAGAAAAGAAACTAACTAATCCACCTACCCATGGGCTGTGGCTGAGTCACCTAACCTCGAGGGCCCTCTGCTTCTTCAGTGACAATCTGTTGTGAAAACACAAGGCTGGGGGAATATGTACGGCACTCCTTGGCTTGGACAGCAAAGGCTTCAGTGGGTAGAGGGCCGTACCGCCCCTCCCAGTTGACTACTGTACCAGCACATTCTGTCCCCATGGCTGCAGGTGATGTGCATCCTTGGTTTGTGAAAGTAAGAGAGACAATAAAACGGTTTTGGCAGCGGGGGGTGGGGGGGCATGACTAAAGACAATGAGAGTAAGCCACAGACTGTAACAGGCCACAGGAGAACACGCCTGCTGGAGCAGTGTCACCCCAGGTCCCTGAGGAAACCTTCTCTCTCTTTCCGAAGCTTGCCAGGATGAGGAGCACCCAGACCATGTTAAAGTGTGTGAGGCTTGCAGGTCTGAGAGGACTCATTGCACACACACCCCTGCTCAGATCCACCCCAGGGAGGAGGGAGGGATCAGCAGGGCACACACACGGCTTTCGAGGTCACACCTAAGCTTTTAAGCTGCAGAAATCCCTGGTGGCAGGTGTGGGGGGAGGAGAGATTTGTCTGCAGGCCCTGCAGCAGGCCCCCAAAGCTCAGGGCAGTAGGATGATGCCAGCATCCTCCAGAACCCAGGAGGAAGAGGAGGGAGCCAGGAAGGCAACATGATGAAAGGCAGCCTTCCCTTTGGACCTTGGGCCCAGAAGGACTTGTCTCTCACTCCTGATTCTGGACATACTTGGGCATCCTTATACACAGTATCTCCCCATTTTGCACTCTGCTTTGGTGTATATGCAAAGTTCAGGACATTTGGAGAGATCTCTCCTGCTACCTACCTTCGTGAGCATTAAAAGGGAGACCCTATGGGCCCTGGATCAATTAATACCCACAATTCCTTCAGCACCTACACACTGCCATTTGAAGTCCCCATGGAACACTTTAGCATGGGGGACACAGAAAGCTACTGGGTGGTTTTTCTGCCAGCATAGTCCTTTTCAAGCTATACTTTTGCCAATGGTGCTGCTCATCAAAATGTATGAATTTATTCAGTGGGCATTTCCAGAGCGCCCACTCAGTGAACCTGTACTCTGGGAACTGCTGAGTACTAGACTGTGTATTTTGAGCCTCCTTGAGTACAGCGACTGCATCTTAGAGGGTGACCCGACTTTCAGAGACCACCAAAGCCATTGAGAAAGCAGAAGCCTATTAATGTGAGAATACCCCTATCCTGAAAGAATAGGAGTATCTCCAGTATTTACTCCACACCAAAGGTTAAGCAGAGTGCTGAGTCTCAGGCATCTGCCCCTGTGGCAAAACTGGCTCAGTGCATGGGACAAGCTAACAACTGCCTGTTTTAGTTAGGGTTTCTATTGTTATGAAGAGACATCATGACCATGGCAACTTTTATAAAGAAAACCACTTAACTGGGGCTTGCTTACAGTTTCAGAGGTTTAGTCTATTATCGTCATGGCATTAAGCACGGCAGCATGCGGCAGACATGGTGCTAGAGAGGTAGCTGGGGGTTCTACATCTTGATTGGCAGGCAACAGGAAGTGAACTGTCTACCACACTAGGCACAGCTTGAGCATATGAGACCTCAAAGCCTTCCCTTCCCTACTCCCCTGTAGTGACATACTTCCTTCAACAAGGCCAGACCTACTCCAACAAGGCCATGCCTCCTAATAGTGCCACTCCCTATAGGCCAAGCATTCAAGCACAAGTCTATGGGGGCCATTCCTATTCAAACCACTACACTGAGCAATGGTGAAAGGCCTCTGAGACAGTGACCAATGGGTTGAGCAAGCCACCACTGACTTGGGGGAAGTGGAGGACATGAAGTGAATCCACAGAAAGGGCACCCATGTTAAGGCCTGAAGGTCACATTGCCAAGAAAGCCCTAATCTCCCAGACAATCCCAAGAAACTCATCATTCCCACTTACTGATGAACAACCTAGCCTGCAAGGCTAAACGAGTCACCTACAGCCACACAACCACAATAGTGGACAATTGAAGAACTCGAGATGAAGCTCAACCAACATGTGGCTTTCCTCAGCTGAGTATCTTCTCCACAACAGGCATACTTCTGAGGGACAAGGCCTCGTATCTGAGGGGCAGGCTCTGTTTTCTGGGATCTCAAAAGGCCATGACAAGAGATTATGCTCCTGGAAAGAGAGATATGCCTGGCATCTCGCTGGTCAAGTTCATCTGCAGCCCACAATCCACTACAAATTCCATGGATCCAGGGGAAAGCCAGCATGTGTGGTGATATTTTAATTGTCCTGAAATGTGATTTTGTTTGTATGTTAATAAATAAAGTTTTCCTGGAGATTAGAGGTCATTAGCGAGCCAGGAACAGAAGTCAGGTGGTGGTAGCCCATGCCCTTAATCCAATCACATGGCAGGCAGAATCTCTGTGTGGTCAAGAACACAGCCAAGCATGGCGACACAAACTTTTAATCCCAGTACCAACCATAGAGACCTGGAGGTCTGTATGGACAGGCAGTGACAAGGAAGTCATGTGGTTGGGTTTAGAGCCAACGAGAAGGCAGAACAGAAAGGCAATAAAAAGACAAGTCACACAGGAAAAAAAAAAAAAAACTCTCTCCGGGGAAGCAATGGCAGCAAGTGGTAAGCTAAAGGTGGTCTTGGCTCTTCGCTAGTGTTCGGATCTCTTGGGCTTTTAACTCTATATTTGACTCCGTGTTTCTTATTTAATAAGACTGTTTAGAAATTCGTCTACAAGCATGGGTATTCTTCAGTCTCCTTAGAACCTTTGACAGAACTGACTGCTGCTCAGGCCGGGGAGATGGCTCCGTAAGTAAGTACTTGGTGTACAAGCATGAGGACCTGAATTCAAATTCCCAGCACCCATGTGAAAGGTGAGGTATGACAGCGCATGCCTGTAGTCCCAGCATGGATAAAGGTGGATCTCTGGGGTTTGCAGGCCAGCTTGACCAGCTATAACAGTGAGCTTCAGGTTGAGTAAGAGACTATGTCTCAAAAAAGCAAGGTGGAGGGCTAGAGAGATGGCTCAGTGGTTAAGAGCATAGACTGCTTTTCCAGAGGACCTGGGTTTGATCCCAGCCCCTACACTGTAGCTAACCATCTGTAACTAAAGTTCCAGGGGATCTGACACCCTCTTCTGGCCTCCATGAGCACCAGGTACACATGTGGTGTGCAGACATACATGTAGGCAAAACACCCACCCACCCATGTAAAAAAAAATAAATCTCAAAAGATAAAAAAACCAAGGCAGAAAGCAACGGAGGAAGATACATATGTGTGTGTCATCCACCCATCCATCCGTCATTCAT